AGGTTGAACCGACTTCCACACCGTCGGGCACTCTTTGGGTTATAAATAGATAGATCAGTCAAAAGCAAAAAAGTAATCTGTAGAATATAGTCAATCAGGCATCGCTACGAGACGGCTAACTGAGAGCCAGACTGATTCTGGCCTAAAGGATAAAGGTACTCTGCGGCTAAAGCCAGGGTTTCAAGGGGAGAGAGGCCATTGCAAGGGGGATATTGGGGAACTTCTGTCAAACTTCCAACCGTCTGGAAATCGCTCTCATCATCCCATGAAAAACTATTCTTGTCCTCTTCTTCCCTCTCATCGATCCAACTAGACTTCCGAGGCTTCTTATGCATGGATATCCATTTGTTCAAAGATCGACAGAGCAGGTGGCGATTTAATAACTTGCCTGGTTCGTGTTCCTCGAGGGACGCGAGCTTCTGTCTTCCGGTACGCACCAGCTTTCGAAGAATTTGCTTGTTACGCATCTGCGAAGATGGCAACGGCCGCGAGGAAGTTGAAGCAGAGAATGAAACCGAAACTGGAAATGAGTGCCTCGACTAAACAAGCAATATAAATTAAAACAAGATTTTCATATCGCTAGTAGCTTAGAGGAGACGGAAAGAAATTATCGGAAAACATGCTTCATTATAAAACCTGCAAAATTGAGACTTGCATCCCACTTGTCTTATTTTATGGTCCTCGTTGAACTATTGCAATCCACACGGTTTCTCTTTACATTGCACACTCAGTTTAACCTTAAAGTCACCCCTGAAGCCCTCGCCCAAATTGCCATATTATATAGTTTGCCTAGAACTCCGACAACCCACATGGTCTGCCTTTACATTGCAGTCCGTTTTGTATTGAAAATAGGGTACACAACAGACTACGATGGCTTACATAGTCCTTAAAAATAGACGTTAACAAAAAGTAGAAACTGTGGAAAACATCGCTTACGGACAAAGCTGCATCTTTAAGTGCGTACAGGACTCAGGGAATCCATTTTCTTCCATTTTCCATTTTTCTTCTTTAATTGCCTGTTAAGGTCTCGTCCACCAAGCAGGGTGAGTAGTCGTCTTACATACCTTCACCGGACAACAGCGCTTAATCACATCTAATGCAATCGTCTTGAGTGATCTCCAATCTTCCTCGGGATCCCTCTTGAGCAGGCATTCCCAATTCACGTACAATAGTGCAGTCTTCATTGAATTAATATTTGCCTTCAGGAAGACCTACGGAGCGTTTGTTCGGTCCCACTTGGAGTATGCTGTCC